GTCATAGAAGTATATAGATTTTAAATGTTTTTGATAAGTTGTAAAAGATATAAAAATTATAAAATTATAAAAATAAAAAAAAATGTTTAAATATAAAATAAGTTGAAAAAATAATATTAATCACTTTGATAATTTCATAAAATGCTATAGCCTTAAACATCATCCTGCTACAATTTTGCGCTTCATGACTGACCAGCCTTTAACCAGTATATGCTATGGATTCCTAAGAATCAAGGTCATCTACAGCTATGTAATGGCTTTATGAAATTACTCAAGCAAATAATAATATTTTCTCAAGTTATAAAAATAAAGAAATAAAACGATATATGTGTCACTAAATTCTAATAGAGTATGAGGGATAATCAAAGGAATTATAAAGGAATTGTAAAAGGATAAAAGTAATTAAAAGGGGTAAGGTAATACCATCTTCGCATTTGTCTTCATTCATTTTGTAGAATCTTGATGGTGTAGCGCGGTTTAATCTCGATGGGCAAGATGTAGATACGTGTATGCTATCAAGGTAGGTATGTATATGCATATGGTGTTGGAGTATATGCTAACCACGTCTTGTTTCTTTGGTAGGTTATGCCGTTGCTGTTATGCGACCAATCGTGATGATCAGCGAGGACCGCAGGTTCGTCAAAGTCTTTGTGTAGGTCTTGATGCAGCTTCGTTGGTTGGTTCGGCGGCGATAAGATTTTCTGTGGGCTCTTTTTCTCTATTCCGTCGTCATCTTCGTCGTGCTGCTGGTGGTGGTATCATCATTGTCGAGGAAGCGTGATTGTGATCATGATCATGATCACGATTATGATGGCATTTATTTTCGGGGCAGTCATTGTCGTTACGGTACTGGATACTTGAATGTCTCGTTGTTATTATATCCTCGGCCGTTGATATATAACGTCAAACTCATGGACAGACTTGTTAATCGATGCCTCCAACAACACGATTCGGTCAAGCAATTCCTGTTTACGACTCGACGTGGTGGTTGATACAGGTGGTTATGACATAGATATGCCTTTTAGGTGAGTTACTGGGTCCAGTCGTCTTCTACGTCTCGAGTTGCCAGAAGTTCATCATGTAAAATGGGGTTGGCCAACTTGGAATTGTGGTCGTTGCAATAATTCTTCTCGTAATGATCTAATTCGCTATTCCAGCATGCGTCCGAATGCCACCATCACAGCTAGCCAAAGATTCCGAGGATATTGACGCGACCCTCTTGACCTGTGTCGATCGAGTGTTGACAATGTACTTCTTTTTTTTTCGCGATCGTGATCATGATCATGATCACGATTATGACAGCTTCCCATATTATCATCAGGGTTATCATCTTCGTAAGGTAAGCGTTCCGTTTGCATAACCATTCTGTTTTTGGGTGGTTAGTTCTTTCTCTAATCATTCTTGTCTTCTCTTTTTTTTTCACGTTGGTGCCTTCTTCACGGTCTTGTCCCGGTATTTCCAATCGTCAGGGCAGTATACCTCTCGTCGATCGTGGTATTGATTATTGCGGGGGGGGCTTGTCGGAGCGTTAGACTTTCCTTGCTGCTCTGATATCTTTGAGAATATATATACATGCATATATATTCTAGGCATGCATTATCCGACTCGTAAGATAATTAAACTTTTTTTTCGATCGTGATCATGATCACGATGGCATTTCGGCGTTTCCAGTCGTCAGTCTTGATCGTATTCTCTCGTCTCTGGTAAGTCGCAGCGTTTGTGGCATTTTCTTCTCTTGTGGCTTTGATCATCGGCTTCTAACTCTTCCTTATATGTCTTTTCCTAGCCCCATGCTTCACGTTCAATTCGCCATCCGCGGGTTCTCCTTGATCCTCGTCGATATCCATCATCCCTCGCATGTGCTACCGGAGTCTCGTCGGTAAGTTTTGGTTCTTTGCCTTCTGGTTTCTTCGCCGTTCTTTCGCAGACAGTCCTTTCTTCCTTTAGGAACTCGTCCCTTTATTCTTTCGGTGCCGCGGCATTTCTTTGTGATCGTCAGTATCCCGGCATGACCTTCGGGACCGACGATTCACTTCAGATAAGCACCTTTTCTTTTCTTTTTTTTTTGTTATTTATATATTTTAAAGCGGAAAAACTATTGAATACCGTTTCTTTTCTTGGCAGGTTCTCTGCTTCGTCCATTCGTTGTCATTCTTTTTGGCGATCGTACGGCATACCGGCCGTATCCTCGGGGCGATGTCTTGATGAGAGGTAAGAAGTCTCTTTCCTCTCTCCTCTTTGATATTGTGGTCATGTTTCGTCTTTTGATTTTACATGTTCCTTCTCACCATCCTCAGAACTAGAATCTTCGTCGTTGATATCACTATCATCGATAGATTCTGTCACAAGGATCGGTGTGGATGGTATAAAATCCTCTGATTCATCGACGCATGAAGAAACAATTGGTAAATGCATCGATATGTCAAATTCTTGTTAAAAGTGATAAGAATTCCATGGTCGGCACAAATAATCTATTTCAATTCCAATCATCATAAGTGCCATCACACATCTTCGTTTCGTGTTCCAGACTCCTCGCTTTCTTCCGTCTTTGTCCCCCGTCTTGTGCCGCTTTTATTATTCTTTTTGCTTCTTTGGGACTTACGGCTTGTCACGGATCGGGGGTAGGCTTCTCTTGGGCTTTGTTTCTTCTTTGGATAGGGCAACGAATTTCATTATTACGGCGTCGTTTATTTACTTAATAATTTAATTTTTAGGGGGAGGCACATATACCACCGATCCCGTGATCGTCGTTCTTTAGGCTTCGCTTTTCTTCTGCGCAAGCCATTTCGGAGCTTCTCTCGTTGGATTTGGACTTCTTTTAGGTCGGGACGATGCTTCTTCCTCTATTCGGCATATACCAGCAGCCAAATTCTTCATAGGCATCATCGTTAGAGCGGAATTGGTCTTTTGTTTCTTGGATCGTCGCGAACACAACGTCGCTTCCGTCGCTCCTATGAAGATCGAACTTCCTCGGGGGCAATTTCTCAGAGGTGGCAATTAACGAGCGTTCCATTTTTGAGGCACATTTTACAGTCACCACCAATTTGTCATATATCTTCCTACCTCAGGAGAAAGATATGGACGGAGAACTAATAGCAGGAAGACACTTTGTATGGATGAACCAATGTGATATGCTAAAGTTCATAAGGGTGTACTAAAATTAGTACAGTTCTGAGGT